GAGGGTGTCATCTGGGGTGGGCGTGTTGGCTCGAGGGTGTCATCTGGGGAGGGCATGTTGACTTTGGTTCTAGCTGGCCACACTAATGAGTCTGCACGCAGTTCTGCTGCGATCGTTAATGTCGGTGACGCCTCCGAGAGCTTCAGTGTCCTACATGAGGAAGTTTGTGGTGGTCAGGTGAGCACGGGGCTGGTTTTCCAGTTGAGGGCCCATGTGTAGCAGGTGCTGCAGATCAGGTCGACCTCCCGCTGGGCAGGTGTCTTTTAGGTTCAGGTGTCAAGGTGACAGGTGTCCCACTGTTCCTACACTTCAGCAGCTGGCACCACAGCGCTGCATTCACTCCTGCATGTGGAAGGCAGGTGAAGGATGGAGAGGCATGGTGCCTTCTGGCCTTAGGCTGTGACACACTCTAGCAGGGGCTGTGATTTCAGGCACTGAAACTCCTCCTGACAACCCTTGAAGCCAACATGGTAGTCAGGCTCTAAAGTGGCTATGGATGACAACTACCTGGTATCCAGATCCCTTCTGTGGTCCCTTCCTCAGGAAAGTGACTGATCCACATAGCCCGTGTGGTGTAGGAATGACAGTCCAGGTTATTCCTGTGGTCAGATCACATGAGACCTTGCGCCTTCCATTTTGTTCTCCTCTGTAGGAAGCTGGCTCCTGGGTCTCGAGGACTGCCAAGTGGCCCAGGTGGAGATGCACAGGGGGAAAAGCAGGCCTCCTGCCAACCACCACCATGGTGGGGATGCTCCATGTTGGAAGCAGCCCTTGCCTCAGGTTAGACTCTACAAAACTGCAACCTTCACTTTGTTAGCTTCATTCTTGAGAGACTTCAGCTAAACTCTCTTTAAATTTCTGATTCATCCATATCATATTACATGAAAAAAAAAACCCTGTGATTTGAGGTGCCATGTTTTGGAGCTAGTTTGTTATTTCAATAGTAGATAGCTGACAGAAAAAGGTATACTTTGGCCCCATTTTCAAGATAAGGGAATTGAGAAAATGACAGCGCCAAGGCCACACCTCATCTAAGTGGCACAGCCAGCACTGAAGCCTCCGTGTTCTGATTATGGGAGTAAAACCCTGCAGATGCTTTCAGGCCCTCCCTCCCACGAGCATACCAGACTCACCTTGCTCACAGTGCTCCCCACTAAAGCCAGGCTGGCACAGGCAGGAGGGCTCCCCTCGAGCTGAGATGTGGCACTGCCCATGGTGGCACTTGAAGGCTGAGCATGCATTGGCAGAGTCATTCTTGTGGTCACACGAGGCCCCTCCATAGCCCTCAGCACATCTGCATATGTAGGAGCTCCCGCTTGCCACACACTTTCCATGGTTGCAGCTGGGGGCAGAGAGGAGGAGGAAGAGGAAGGAAGCGGACCAGAGTTAGTGCCACTCTAGGCGCTCTTTCCCCACCCCAACTAGGAGCCAGGCTTATGCCAAACAGCTCAGAGTTGCAGGCCCTCTAATTGCAGTCCAAGTGGCCTCCATCCCGTGTTGTGTCCTTCTCAGCCAGTGGCCAGGCAGCCGGAAGCTACTGGGCCTCACTCAGTGTCCATTTCCATTTCTAAGCACAACAGAAGCTACTGTTACATACCCAAACCAGCACTCAGGTATCCAGGGACAAGTTCCTGCTTGGAAGAATATAACTTTCTATAAACATTTTAATGGCTTTGCCATCTTTTTTTTTTAAATTTTTTTTTTTTTTTACATTTTATTTTATTTATGTGTGTGTGTGTGGCCAGCTCAGCCCACCAGGGGGTGGGGCTGGTTGGCATGTGGTGCTGGGGGATTGAACCACGGTCCCTGTGCTTTGTTTAGCTTAGCTTGTTCTAAGTAGGTGCTTTAGACCACTGAGCCATCTCACCAGCCCAGGCTTTGCCATCTTAATTGATAATAAGACTATTACTACTACTGGTACAGGGTGAGCATTTCTAATCTAAAATCTGAACTCCAACATGCTCCAAAATTCAAAACCTTTTGAGCACCAATATACTATCAGTGGAAAAGTCCACACCTGACCTCATGTAATGCATTGTACTCTATAGATGCTCTGAAGATCTCGCATAAGATTACCTTCGGGTTGTGTGTGTCAGCTGGATAGGAAACATAAATGAATTTCATGTTCAGATTTTTGGTTCTTTCCCCAAGATATCTCATTATGTATATGCAGGAATTCCAAAATCTGAAAACATCCCTACTGGGATGACATTCAGAGATAGGATTTATATTAATTCTAGAATCATACATACTTTAAAGCAACAGGAGGCTCCAGCCATTTATAGCTCTCCTTCCTTCCTGCTCCAAAGCATTATTTTTCCAGCTTGTTCAGCCAACCAAATAACTAGTTTTGGCCCTCGGGTTATTTTTGCTCAATGTAGATTTCTTAACATTAGGAATACTGCGCCTCTCACATTCGGCATGAGGCCCGGCACACAGTAGGCCCTCACCATGTGTTTGTTGAGTAAGAAGTTAACCCTGTAGAGACGACTCAGCTGCGCATGCGTACGCAGCCGCCTCACTCAGGCTAATGGCCAAGGTATTGAGAGTCACCCTCGTTCTGCTTGTCACGCCAAGTACATGTGGGGACTATCTACCCAAAGTGATCCCTTTCTTTTGTCACACAGAGGTGGCTTGGAGGCTTGTGGCAGTTCTGGACAGGGTCTAAGGCCACATGACAAAGACGAGTTTTGAGCAAGGCCCGTGCATGTGATGTCACTGAGCAAGACCTAATGCCCTGAATTCGAAGCAAAGCCACTCAAAAAAAAAAAAAAAAAAAAAAAAAATTAAATTTAGAGCCGGGTCTACAGGGTCTCACATTGTATGTCGGACTCGTAGAGATCTTCCTGTTTACAGCCTCTCAAGTGGTGGGATTACACCATGGCCAGTCTCAATTGCTGTCTCAGTGTGCCTGGGGGAGGGGGCGGGGCAGGTACAGCAGACCCAGGGATCGAATTCCCCACCCGGGCACCAACTTGTAGGCGCTTTAATTCGCTGAGTTATTTAGCCGGCCCTCAAATATTAAACAGTTTCCTTAGTATCATCCCAATTCTTCCCTCTCCATCGGTAACTCCTCCTCGGTAAGGGCAGAGATGCAGGGTGTCTGAGTCTGTGTCTTATGGGACACTGACCTGTGGCTGGAGCAGGGGTCCCGGGCTTCCTGGTCACACAGCGGGCCCGTCCAGCCCGAGTGGCACTCACACACTACGCTGTCCTTCTCCACTGCGCGGCACAGGCCATGCTTACACACTGTGCAGGACTTGCAGCCTGGAGAGACCCCCAGGGACTGCGGAGGGAGGGCCTTGAAGTCCTGCAGCTCATTGTTGATGCGCACTTCATGGATGCAGCCGTGAAATCCACCCAGCGGCCGGTCGGCGCCCTGGCGCAGGGCCGAGAGGCCTGTGGACGTGGGAATGCCTGCGGGAGAGGAGTTAGACAGCCTGAAAGTCCTCTCCTGCCCACCAGCTTGCTACACCCGAACCTAACAGCCCTTGGGGAGAACTTGCCCTTCTTGGTGTAGAGCCTGGGGCCTCTGGTGTTCACATCAAGGCCCTAAATCTGGACCTTATTCACACAGGGACAGGGATCCTTGGTCCTGCAACAGGGCCACTTAAAAATTTAAATTTGTTGCTAATATTTAAATATAGAAAATTTCTCATAAAGGTGTATAGTATGCATTTTCCTAGATAAAATGGTCCCACTGGCTGAATGATAACCACTACCTCTTGTAGGTCTGGGACACATCTTATACCAACTTCTCCACTATTCTCCCTGGCCTGGGCATCCCATATTTCAGCTTTCTCCCAGGAAAAACAAACTGAAGTTTTGGGGTGAAGATGTGGAGAAGATCTTTATTAGCGGAACATTGGGGTTCAAAGTTTCAGACTGCTGCCCTCTGTGCTGTGCACCCCTCTTTCCAGGGTTTTTGAGACTATTGATAGGGACCTGATTTGCTTTCCTTTTTTTTTTTCTTCTGTATTTAGGACAGGGTCTATAAGGTCTACCGGGTCTCACTGCATAGATCGGTGTGATTCTCCTGTTTTCAGCCTCCCAAGTGCTGGGATTACAGGTGTGCGCCACCACCCCAGTCTTAGATGCTGTCTCCAACCGTGGGCGGGGCCAGCATGGCAAGCCCAGGGATGGAAGCTGGCTGCTGCTGCGCTATCAGGCTAGCCCCTGATTTGCTTCTCACTTGAGTCCAACTTGTGTTTTCTCTCCCTTTTGTACCTACCGCGTATGTGGAGCCCAAGGCCAGTGTACAGGCTGGAAGCAGAGGACTCAGAGCTGCTCTGGCTATCCCTGGGGCAGGTTCGGGCAGGGGAGCAACAGCCTGCTCTGGGGAGAAGCTGTGCCCCTTCTGGGATGGTCCTGGGCCAGGTGCATTTCCTGGCTTCCTGCACCTGGGCGGTGGTTGACCTGACTGTGAGATTTGGGGACTTTATGCAGGCCCCTTAGAGAGCATCCCTTGGGGTCATCTCTGTTGAACAAACTGCTCTGGTGGCTTCCTCTGCACACAACTCTTTGAGAACTGTTCAGTCTCAGGCTCTACTAGACTGGCAGCAACTTTTTTTTTTTTTCTTCTTTTTTACAACCTTCATTTAAACTTGAGCTTCTCTATCAACTAACTCTTGTGGTGGCCAAGGAGGGAGAGGGCAGAGGGAGGTTCCCTGAAGCCTGCAGTCTAGAGCCTAGACCTGCTTCAGCCTCCTGCTTCTCTTCTCACCCTTCCCAGCCCATCTTCACCTTACCCGCTTCCTCAACACCTCTCTGCACACCTTGAAGTTTCCGCAGAGTCCTGCTGTTTCCTTTCCAAGCCTGTGTTCAAAGTACTCTTATTTGCATGGGCTGCCTAATGCCTGTTCACCCCATGAGGAGTCAGCTTTGCCATTACTTCCTCTGGGACATCTTTCCTGATCGGCTTTGGCAGGGGTACTGAGCTGAGAGCAGGGAGCCCATGGCATAGGTCTGCATGCAGGTGCTGAGCAGGGGACAGAGGGGAGTGTTACCTCCAAGGTAGAGTGGGCTGTTGACGCCTACTGCCGGCTGCTTCTGGAGCTTCCCCAGGCTCTTTGGTGCTCCTTTGTCCACCACCAGGTTCAAGGTCTGGTTTAGCATCACCAGCTCCACGCTGTGGAATTGCCCATCATTCACTGTCTCCACACTAGGCAAGAGAGCAAGAAAACCGCCACTAGTATTCCCGAGTGCCTTCTGGGGCCAGGCACTGGGCTGCCGATTTGCCCAGCAGCACTTGTATTTTGTTTTCCTTATTTTTTTCTTTGTTGTTTTTTGTTTGTTTGTTTTTGAGACAGGGTCTTGCTACATAGTTCAGGCTGGCTTTGGCTTGGAGGCAATCCTATATCAGCCTCCCAAGTTCTGGGATTATAGGCATGCTCCCTCAAGCCTGCCTTTTACTTTTTATTTGAAAACAACTTCAAACTTAAAAAATTGCAAAATGCAGTATAGAAAATATGACCCACTTTTTCCTATTATCCACATTTGCTTTATTTATCCCCCCCCCAAAATTTCCTGACCCATTTAAAGATAAGATACATTTATTGTGGTCCTTCACCCCTGGATAGCTCCCTGTGCATTTCACAAAGGTGGGGCTATTCTCTCCCATAAATACAGCATAGCTAACAACTCAGGTAAATTTAACATTCATACCATTCTTTATCTTCTGTTCAGATTTACAGTGGACTCAATAATGCCCTTTGTAGTATTTTTTTCCGACTGCAAAATTCTGTAGACTCGGGTACTGCATTTGGTAATCAGTATGTATTTGCATTGTTTCTGTCACTTAGTAATGCTGGGTAATCTACCCTTCTTTTTAAGAAAACACCTTCTTAATTGTGGCTCTACCTGGGCACCCTCTTGAATTCTTTTCTGAATGCATTTCCTGTTCAGTTGTCCTGTATCCCTTTTGACTATCAGTAAATGTATAAGGTTAGTATTGCTCTAGAGATACTAGTCAAGAGAAAGTTATTTTGGTGCGCTTTCAATTTTTCCTAGTGCACAGGAAGTAAATTCTCAGGTAAAGCACCAGTACTTTCTCCTTGTCCCACCTGAACTCATCCCATGGGCTGCCAATGTCATGTTGTACTGCACTTGGGGAAATAACACCTTATAACACCCATGCCAAGGAAGTTTCTTGTTCCCATTACAGAGCAAGGAGATGGAAGTCCGGGTAAATTACATGGTTTACCCAAGACTCCATAGCTAATGAATGCAGACCGAAGGTTTGGCCGTCCCTTCCTCCTGGTGCCTCTGCTGGTCCCAGCAGCTGCTCCCAAGGTGCATGATGGGCCCGGCAGGATGCTAAGTGCGTCACACTATTTGAACGTCATAACTCTATGAATCGGGAGATCTCTAGATCCCAGAAATCCATTTTCACAGATAGACACTGGTGCCCAGAGAGGACAAGTGCCTTGTCTGAGGTCGCCCAACTAGTATATGACAGAAATAGGATTTGTTGCAAAACTAAAATTAAAAACAAAGGAGGAAAGGTTTGTTTTGGCTTACAGTTTTGAGATTTTGTTTAAATAAAATATTTTATTATTTATTTAGTACAGGGTCTTACTACACAGCTTAGACTCACAGTGATCCTCCTGTCTCAGCCTCCCCAGTGCTGGAATTACAGGCACCACATCCAGTTTCAGTTGCCAGCATGGCATGTGGTATAGGGAATTGAACCTGGGTCCTTGCACTTGCCAGGCTGGTGCTCATGCCGCCGAGCTATCTCCCCAGCTATCTCTCCCCAGATTTTAGCCCAGGGTCACCTGGCCCTATTGTTTGGGTCTAGAGGGGCACAGTACTTCCTGTGGGAACGTGTGGCAGAGGAGGCCTTTTCCCCTTATGGCAACCAGGAAGCAAAACAGAAGAGAGAAGGGGCCACTGTCCAGTACGCCCTTCAAGGCCTGCCCCAGTAGCCTAATGTCCTCTCTCTAAGCTCCACCCCCTTGAAGTTCCATTCCCTCTCAGTAGCAACACAGGGGGCAGCCAAGCCTTCAAAACACGGGACTGGGGATGCAGCTCCCCAGCCCAGATGGGTGTAATGAGCACCGGCCCTGCAGGGAGCTTGATGGTAGCAGCAGGTCTGGGTGGTTTGAGCACTCCCAGCATCAAGGGCTAGGGATGAGGGGCAGCCGTTTCCATTCTAGATGCACACGAGTCCAGTGAGCGCACACACCTGAGCTTCCTGGCCGCTGGCTCTATTCTCTGCCTCCTGAGTTCCCTGGCCAGCCAGTGGCCTCTGAGGGCAGCTGGCCAGGAGACAGTCCTTGCTCAGTCTGGGGATTGGGCCAGTAGAGTAAGTCAGTGGACCACAGTAGATCCTGTCTCCCGCTTCCTCAACCTGACAGGTGCCTGGGCTTTGAGTGTCTGCACATTTCCACCAGCTCTTACCATCTCCGAGGCCTGTGCTCTTGAGAGCCCCGTGTTACAGGGAAGGACCGTAAAGAAAGTGACCAAAAACAGAGTGCTTGGAAGTGACAGGATGGAGGTGCAAAGTAAGAAGTGCTTCACATCCAAACCTGGATCCTCTTGTGGGTGCCAGTCAGTCATGGGCTCGTGGGTCACCTTGTTCCTGGTTTATCTTAACCACGGTGTCCTGAAACAGAGCTTAAAGCCAGTGCTTTGGGGCCTGGGAGATGGCTCAGTAGGATAAGCGCTTCCCTGGCAAGTGCAAGGGCCTGAGTTCAATCCCTGGTTTCGGCCAAAACAAACAAACAAACAATAACAAAAAAACCCCCAAAACAACAAAAAATAAAGCCAGTGCTTTTCACATGATGGGTCCCTGGAGGTTTGGGCTGGGCAGTGCTGACAGGTCTCGTTACCACCATCCCCAGGTTAGGATGGCTCCATTTCTACTTAAAAAAATGTCTTGGACTTTGAAATAAAATACCAGTGGGAAGAGTGACACAACCAGTATAACAAGAGAAACAAGTGAAAGACTGTTTGTATTAAAAGAAACAGTGTCAGGCTCCAGAAGTTAGTCTCCTGGGGAGACATGTGGGCCTTGCAGGGGACCGCAGGAGGGCCTGAGAGTATTTCTGATTATCCACTGGGTCAGACTGAGGCAGCAGGAAGGGGAAGGGAGACGGTGTGGAGGGTGGCAGAGCCGTGCTGCATGGCTGCAGCCTGGGACTGCCACGACCACATGTTCTGGTCATGTGGGTCATTAGCTTCATTTTTGCTGTTAATAACCATGGTGGACAAACATTCTTGAGGGCCAAGAGCCCTAGGCAAAGACACCAAAGTCACCCGGCCTCTCTCATTTAACCTTAACAGCCCCAGGTGGGAGGTGCAGCTCTTTTGCTATTTGGAAACAAGGGACTCCAAGTGCCCAGTGCAGTCTTACAGAGGAGATGGTCCCATCTCAGGTCCTGATGCCACTGTTCTCAAAAAGGGGTTTTGAGGGTGGCCATTCCTGTGGGTGCTGGTGGTTCTCACCTGGATGCCGACTGTGACCAATAGGTGGCGGCAAGGCCCCACAAGAACAAAAAGTGCCTGCAATTTAGTTGGGTGGCAGCTGGCCTCTTCACCCTGGTGTTCTCTCTTCTAGCCTTATAGCCAGCAAGGAGGTGGTGCCCGGCGTAGGGCTGGGGAGCTGGCAGAGCTCATTCTGGTGGAAGCCTGATCTGGTTTTAAATCCTGACTTTGCCACTTAGTGGCATCCTCTGAATATCAGACTTCTTATTCCTTACCGAGGACTGGTGCTGCTTGCCTGGGGCTTGTGCTCAAGCTCAAGTGAGACAAAGATCTTGGCAGTAAATGGAGTTGTGGTAATTAAGACCCCAGGAACATGCACTGTGCTGGGTAGAGCTTGCTTTCTGTTTTAAAATGCTGGATATTTCATGTAGAAATCAGCGTTTTTAGCTTCTTCTGATAATCTGTACCACGACAGCCTCTGTTGGGGCTGAGGCTGGCTGCCCCTCTGTACATGGGGTACCCTTCAGACTGCCCCGGCCCAGTGCTTCCTGATGCCCATGCAGGCCTGCTGCCCCATGGCTTTTACTTGCTTGGGCCCTTGGCTTTGAGGACTGGTGAATTTACTTTCTAACACGCCTTGCTGCTGAAGATGAGAGAAATCCATCCCATTATAAGGCAGGGCAGGGCAGGGCAGAACCGAACTGAACCGAACCCAGGGCCTTTCTGTGTATTTCCCTGGTGACCTGATCGAATCTTTTTTTTTTTTTTTTTTGTACTAGGGATCGAACTCAGGACCTTGAGCTTGCCAGGCAGGCACTTGTGTGCTGAGCTATCTCACCGGTCCCTGACCTCTGATCTGATAGAATCTTTTTTTTTTTTTCAAAGTTTTATTGATAAACAGATAGCAATGAGACAGTTTCAAATCTAATCGGAAGTACAGTTTCAAGGAATCATACACTGCATATATTCTTCTCAGTGGTTAATTGCTGTACAAGAAGTGGACTTGTGATCCTATTTACAAACACCATTAGAACAAATCCCTCCATTCATTAA